ATTTGTTAATTCCGACTCTTTCCGCGTCCTCTCCCTGGAAAAATACATTTCGGTGAAAATCTGATGTCGTGTATCCATTTTAATTGAATCAGCAAGTTCCCTTCCGGTATCAGGGCATTATTGAATTTGTGAATTGTGTTGGATATGCAAATTTTTCATTGTGTAACAAATACACAACCGCATTTATTACCAAAACGCTACTTTGGTTTTATTGGAGCTTCTTTCGGAATTCGCGACAAAACGAGCCCGCTCCAATTACCTATCCATCAATGACAATTGTCAATTTATTTCTTAATAACGTCACGTGCCGCTCAGACAGACGCAATTGGCTTAATTTCGACTTTCTTTCCCAATCCGAAGACATTTCAATAAGTTTATAAAACTGAAACGGAATCGGAATCGTAACGGTCATGGATAAGGTAAAGAAGAAAAATGATTTGTAAAAACAAGCCTCAATAAATTCTTTAACGCTCCGCTGCATAATTGAAGCGATTCGAACTGGTTGAATCGAACTTCGAGACATTGATTTTGACAAACCGGGGGCTCGCCGACACTGGCTGCACCAGAGAGAGAACTGGATGTGTGGCTGGTCAAAAACTGAATTAAGAGAATTATCCATGGTCGGCGTTTTTAGGCGACTATTAAAAGCCAAGGTTGTTATTAGGATTTTGATCACACACCATAAAAGTCTAATCTCTTCCACAGATTCATCAAGTTTCATTATTTGGTGTCAATTTGGAAGGGAGAAAAAACTATGATTAACTACCGCCTGTAAGAACAACGCTTATTTTCTAATAATTCAAATGAAATAACTCCATTAAATAAGTGTGATTAGCTGACTTGAGGCGAAAGCTGGACGCTCCAAATTTTACGCGCAATTATTTCGAGTAGATTTCCCGGTCGGCAGCAAAAACTGGCTCCTTGGTTTCTTCTTAAAAAAAAAAGGAAGAATTCTCACAGCGGACCCATTTTCAATTAATTAGCAAAATCAAACGTTCAAGGAACGGTACATTCTTAAATTGGATTCCACATTTGATGTGCTACGGGTCTGTGACAGATGTAACTGTAGCTGGACCATAATTCCTTGAATATCTAATTAATTAACAGGATATTGTTCTCAAAAAGGACCATTATGTAATTTCCTTTGTCATTTATTATAATAGAAATGAAAACCCATCTCTTTCTTTCCAACTAATACGACACGAATGTAGTAAGGTCAATTTACTGCTTCAAAAAGAATTATGTATCTTGACGTATTGTACAACCTAGTAATATTTATACACACAGCTGAATTTAAGCATTTGATTTTTTGAGAATATATTGAAACTTAAATTTGCTGAAATAATTATTGCATTTTTTAACAAAATATAATAATGATATCTCCCCACATAAACCTGAATAAAAATAAGACTTAAGCGCAAACCAAGAAATATTCGGCTGCCTTCAAAATTTGGTAATCAATCCAGTAGTTGTGAAATAGTCAGGAAAAATCAAAAGTTACGAGTTTTAATTAATTACATTTATTGTGTTTTTGATAACGATGTATATTTTATGAAGTTACTTTAATTTTTATTTTCCACGTTTTTTAACACACATTCACCAGAACTAGGCGACCCGGTGTTACGGTTGAATCGTATTTCTGCAACAATAAGAGAAATTACATATTTTCATTTATGTTGCTATAAATATGTGTTGTTTGTTTTTGTTATCGGTAACTGTTTTTTTTTTATTTTACCAATTTTATTTTTTTATTTTTATTTTTTAAGTTAAATAACTACAGGTGGACTCATAAACCACAAGTATAGAACTACGTTATTTTGCCAAATTTACATAGCATTTAACAAATGTTGGTTATCAATTATTATTTTACCATCTACACAGTATCCCAAAAGTACAAATAAAACTTGATAACAAATCAGTCAGTAACAATTTTGGGAATTATCTTTTTAATAAAATCGACACTGACGAAAGACGATAGACAGACAAAAACAGGAGATCTATTTTTTCTTTTTTTCTGGTCTAGGAGTCATGAAACGTCGAGAAAACAAAAGCTCACGCTCGGAAAGTAATAAATTAAAAGAAAATATTTTCAAAAAATTTAAAAGAAAATAAAAAAGAAGAATGATTTAAATCCGTAATTATTCCTAAAAAAAAAACTCGATATAGATCGCGAATTATGTTATGTTTTAAATCAGCAACTTTTTTATATTTATTTCAATATCCACTTTATAATACTAATTACAACATTATTATTTTTTAAAAATAAAAATAATGGTCCAAGGTTATTTAATCAGAAGTTCTTGACGGGCAGTACTGCGAATCCAGCTTCTCCTATAAGTTAAAAAATATAGGTAATATCAGTCAGAGTGTAGTTTTATACCTAATATAAAAACGCATCATGGATTCATAATCCAAAAGTACAGGAGTCTGTTGCTTTATAAAATTTCGATGGCATTTACTAAGCAAAATGTTGCGGTGACGTCATCAAATTGTTGGGTGGGGATGATTAAACGAAATTTGCTTAGTGTTCTATCAAGGACGGAATATTCCTAAAAAATAGCTCACCAACTCAATGGTGCATTATTAAGCTCACAAGTCTCAGTTGGAGAAAAATCATTAAAAATTATCAATATAGATAGATCGAGTAAAAATTTTGAAAAATTAGCCACTGTTGTCACATTTATTTTGATGAATTTTTAACTCTTTTGTGACATCATAAAATGAAAAATCGATGGATAAAGTCCACATAGCTCTAAAATTATTTTGAATAATGAACACAGAGTTGTGATTTAAAATATGGCGTCTTCTGAATTCGGGCCCAGGGATTTTTTAAATTATTGTTTCTCTACTGAATAGACAGTCTTTAACCAACAACGTGGCGTAGAGTTTGCGCCATTTCTTGAGTACTCTGTATATAAAATTTGACAACAATTGGTCAGTTATCGGTCTAATAAAATCGACACACATGACAGACAGGCAGACGACAGACAGACAGACAGACAGACAGACACGGAAATTAGAGCTCCATTTGTTCATACTCTAGGGGTTATGAAATCTAGAAAAAAGTTTCGACTTCTTGGATTTCAACAATGGTCGAAATATTAATGGAACCTTGCTCCATCAAATTATCAGTAATTAGCGTTTCTCAGTTGTTCTAAATTTTTTAATTTTTATATAGGAAGTATAAACAGGCTTTCCAATTTTAGGTGCAAAACATTTGAAAAAGCGTTTATTCTGTGTGTGAGTTTTCATGATAATTAACTATGAAATGGGCATCTTAAAATTCCTGATTCTGTGTAAGCTCGGGCTAAAATCTGATGATGATGTCGCCACTATTCACTGATACAATAGTTGAGTCCTGTGTGGATTTTGTACCTAATAGTCTGAATTTTAAACATTTATAACGTATTAACTCATTGCATAAATTTGAAATCCTTTTTTTTTTGTTCTATCTGTTTATTAACGTTTTTTGGTGCTGTTTCCTGCGCGCCATCATTAATTCGATTTATTTTTAATTAAAATTTGTTTAAAAGTCTCGATATTAAAATATTATGTAATCATTTTAATTGTTTTAATGGCTAAGTCAAATTACATTATTTAAAAGAATGATTCAGGAATTAAAAATTTTGTTAAACCTTTGTACTCTCCACAAAAAGTAATAGATTCAAAAGGTCTATAGGTCTGTGGTCCTCAATAAATCATCATATTTATGTTGTACAAGCTGTCAGTACTTTTTTACATCGCTGACAGTTACTTTAAACTAAAAAAAAAGTTGGGCAACAACTTATTATAGACCGTCGTAATTACTATCTCGCTTAAATTAGACCGAATATTAGATCCTTTATGCTAATTTCTGCCGTTCCTCCCGGCTAGTGACTTTTTACCACGTCAACTCCCCAGGCAGAATTTGTACAGTCACAACTAATTACACCAAATTACCCGTCGAATTTTTTTCGAGCTTGATGACACGTCACGCTGCAGAACGACCTGGCTCTTTCAGCTCTCCGACTTTAATTATAAAGCCATTTAAGGTCTTAGGACGTTTAATATCTATTTAAATCTAATTTATACGATAAAATGTTGGTACTGGCGAATATTGTGTAGACGCTGTTTAACAAAACAACAAACTGTCGCATGGCAATTAGCGGTAATCTGGGCAATTAGTGACACGTGCACGCTTTTAGCGTTTGTTTACACGAGATAGAGTTCCTGCAGCGTCTAGTTGCGACGTTAGCATATCCGTTTCCGTCCCTACACGCGTCTATTTCCGCCACCTTAAAGCCGATCTAAGATTAAGAAGATTAGATCGTGGCGAGGGGATCCTTGAAAGCTCACCGATTTTAATTAGCACCGTGCAATATGTACAGCTTAAATGCGACAATGGAAGCTTGTGTGTCGGGGGATTCCTCACGGAGCTTCAAAGCCACCATTAGCTGGGAGAATTTCCATTCTTATAGGATGCAGTTGTTGCACACTCCAATTGAACTGGCAGATCATGCGGCGAAGCTTCCAATATGTCTTGACGGGTATAGAATCTTATTCAATACGACAAAATTGTTACCACAAATAAAAGAATTTACTTATATTAGATTTGATCTCGAGTGAGATGTAACCAAACACAATGTAACTTTTACTATACAAGTGTTTTTAAATTTTTATCAAAAAAAAAATTGATTTTTGTGTATCTCATAAGATTGCTAAGTTGAGGGTTACGTGTTTCGAAAATTGTCGTGAGTTACTCAAGCATTTTGTTTAGCGTGTCTCCCCTACACTCGTCCAAAAATAGCATAATGGAAACGTTTCCGATTAGAGCCGCGTTTCATTTGCCGCCCGAAATAAATTTCTTTTTGTCTGGAACAGCGTAATGAAAGTCCCGAAGACAAAAACTTAAATCACTACCTGAATTAAATAATGTTTTCCCCATTTAGTTCCCACCTATTGTAAGAACAACAATACGATTCAAAGAATTCCAAAGTTAATGGCTCCTTCCTTCATTCCAGAGATAAAATAAGACAATCAAGATGGCATCATCACACAAGTTCCTGCTGCTTCTCCTGCGGATAGCCGGTCTGTGTCTGGTGAATGCGGCTGGGCAGATCCGCGAACAAAAGTTCGCGATGGAGCCCCAAGATCAAACGGCCGTCGTCGGGTCGCGGGTGACGCTGCCCTGCAGGGTTATCGACAAGACCGGGATCCTGCAGTGGACCAAGGACGATTTCGGGCTCGGCACGCACAGGAATCTCAGTGGATTCGAGAGGTACTCCATGATTGGCAGCGATGAAGAAGGTGAGCACCACATAAATTTCCCACCAATTTAAGCTTTGACGTTAACGAGAGTCATTTTGGGCGATCAATCACCCTCATAACGCACTGTAATCTATTTTAATCCTGGACGGGCCTAAATCGAATGCATTTTTAAAGAAAACGGGCCTATTCGCCGCACGAAATCATCACCGAGATCTTAACTTAGCTTTACCGACTCTTTGGTAATGTAGTGATTTAATCGACAGCTGCAATTGACATTTAGCGTGTTGGAATATTGTCAGAGTTTATATTTATTTAGATGCAAAAGATACCGGGGTTATTGTCAATATTTATTTCAAGATCAGTTAACATTTTTATGTCAACATGTTTATTAGGAGCGTGTACGTTACAATTAAACACGTAGGACACTAAACCCATAACATGTACTCCCCTTGAGAAGAGATTGTTTTGTGTCTTTAATTGTGAATTTTCGTGTTGGATAAATTTTATTTGCTTAAAGAATTAATCAGATCTTTTCAATTTGCTGGCAAATCTCTCTGTCAATTCTGTTTCGCTACAGTATTAGTTTCCAGTATATTAATCAAAAATGCCAAAAAATTGCAAATATTTTAGAATTATTTTGCAATCTCCTGCATTCCAATGTAATAAAATTGTAGTTACTGTAATATAATTGACCGCTTTGTTTAAATTGGTTTGATTATTAAGATCAAATATGATAGACACAGTTCACTGACGACAAGGTTGTGATACAATGATTAATTTAATGCATGCCTTTTCATTTGTTAAAACTCGGTTTAAATCCATTGGCGTGTTACTTGATTGAGCCAGAAACGTACAACTGTTTATACAGACATTTATAATACCCAACAATCATTTTGCAACGTCTCCATTTATTTTTTCCAGTTACATATATATATTTTTTGTCATCCTTCGGTTAGAATGACGACAAAAAATTTCAAAAGTAAAACAAGAGATTCTTTCTGAATGAATCTCTTGTTTTACTTTTTGAGTTTTCCAGCATCCGAAGTCGCCTAATATCCTGCTGTAACAATCAGTTTTTATTCCATTGTCGAATACAGCTGCTGGTCTAATGTTTTTCTCATTTTTCGTAACCGCCTTATTCTTCTTTCTCTTGTTTTTTTTTCGCCTATCACCATGGACCGTTCCTCAAAAACATTCTTTCTTCATTTTAGCGCTCCCAGTCTTGAGCTCTTTTTATTTTTAAAATTTTTCATGTTCCCAAATTTTGAAAATAATTTCACTTGACCGGAAAAGCAACAACTTTTTCGATACAAAAGATCTAAATTCCTTATTACTCTTTTCTCTCAACATTTATGAAAATCTTGACAATCAATTTCTCAAGACACTAAATTTTTTAGTTCATAGACAAGTTGTTTTATCTCAGTACATAACAGAATTACTTCAAAACTACTACCTGTGTAAGAAATATAGCATTTACAATTAAAACCTGAGAGGCCATAAGACTTACCGCAATATTGCCAATTCCAGTGACGTGGATTGTCAACGCTTTTTAAATAGTGTCCTATGTATCATATTTTAATCACCTATACTTCGCCACTGCCTTTGATTCTAACGCATTATGTTACGAAAACACACTCTGTTGACTTGTTTATATTTGGTCTGGCGCGGAGTCGGTTCGCACTTCTACACTAATGATAGGAAACGGAAACTTGATTAACAATGCTCCAAAAACATATTGATAAAGCAGGTTAGTTTCCTATAAAACAACTACATAATAACTGACACTACAACTGATAAGATTATATACATTGTATACTTTTTAAAAGAAACTAAAAAAAATGGGTCGAAGGTTATTTCTACAAGACTTCTCTCGCCCCTGAATGAAACCCACGTCTTTGAAAAATAAAAAAAAATATTTTGCGAACTTTTATGAACCAGGAACAGTGTAAGAAGCTAAATAACATCATTGACATCCTATAAATGTCCTTTAGCTATATGTTTTTGTAGAGATTCTTGTGGAGCTTGTTTTCTGAATTCATTAATGTATCATACTTTAATCACTCATACAGAGCCACTGCCTATGATTCGAAGGCATTATATTACGAAAACACACGCTGTTAATTTGTTTATATTTGGTTCGAAGTGCACTTGTCCTTGGAAACGGATTAATTATAATTCATTGGTAGAGCGCAAGGCTATGTCTGTATTTCTAGTGAGTTTTCCCATTGTAAAATATTCCAATCAACATTCCAGAAACAGGCGGATTAATTTCGTGCAGGGTAATACTACTATTAAAAAAATGAGGTGCACCGTTCTTGATTTGATCAATAAAAAAATTGGAACCGCCGCCGTGGTTCGAACCGCGCAATTTAAACACTAAAAATTATATTAATAATAAACAAAAGGAAGGTAGATTCATAAAGCACAAATGCAGGGGTATATTATTTTATCAAACTGAAATAACGTTTACTAAGAAAGGTGACGTCATTACAGTGTTAGTGGAGATGATCAGACAAATTTGTATTAGTCTTTTACATCACCTCATATCCTCAAAACACCATAATCCTCAAATCCTCAAAACACCATAATCCTCAAATCCTCAGAACACCATAATCCTCAAATTCTCAAAACACCAGAATCCTCAAATCCTCAGAACACAATAATCCTCGAATCCTTAGAACACCATAATCCTTAAATCCTCAAAACACCAGAATCCTCAAATCCTCAGAACACCATAATCCTCAAATCCTCAGAACACGATAATCCTCAAATCATCAGAACACCATAATCCTCAAATCCTCAGAACACAATAATCCTCAAATCCTCAGAATACCATAATCCTTAGATCCTCAAAACACCAGAATCCTCAAACCCTCGGAACACAATAATCCTCAAATCCTCAAAACACATGAATCCTCAAATCCTCAGAACATCATAATCCTCAAAACACCATGATCCTCAAATCCTCAGAACACCATAATCCTCATATCCTCAGAACACAACAATCCTCAAATCCTTAGAATACCATACTCCTCAAATCCTCAGAACACCATAACTCTCAACGATATTCGTAACACACATACAATTTTAAAACAATCGGTTGGGTAGAATAAAATTTAAAGGTTGTTAAAAAATAAACAGCCAATTAGATTTACGAATTTAACTCGTTACTATGGAAATTTACAATTTAACACCCTTTAAATTTAACAAGTTTGATTCAGAAGTGCCCCTAATGCCATTTTAATAAATGTCGACACAGATGACCAATAGGTAAATGAGAGACTGATAGATAGACTTGTTTCGTACTGTAGGGGTCATGAAACGTCCACAAAACATGAAAGTAGCCATTTGTCGGACGGACCCTATTACACTGCCTCCTTAGCTTACGCTTGGAAAGTAAAAATAAAAGAAAATAGATGTAAAGAAAATAAAAACGCAGAATTTAGGAAATTTTTGTCTTTGAAAACAACTAAATTCCTCAACTGAAGATTATTGTAACATTTAAACTTGAGATTTTGTATTCGTAAAATTCTGACCTAAATTACGGAATTTAGTTTCATATAGGAGTGAGGTTTTGATTTTGTGAATCACCAATTAAGCCAAATTTTCGAGAAATATTTCAAATTTAAAATTTCTTCAAAATGCTCAGATGGTTTAGTTCAATCAATTATCGCATAACACGCAATGGCAATTTTGTGTTTAAAAAAATGATAAAAGTTCTTGCAACTTTCCAAAATCGGCATTATTTTGCAGAATCTCTTTTGATAGTGGTTTAAAAGTGATAATTGCAGATCAGTTGAGATGAAACAATGTACATTTATAAAATATTATTAAATATTTTATAAAAACTTATTCCTGGAAAATATTCTGTAACGTTAAAAAAATACACTGGAAATGTTTTTCGACTGGTTTCTCACGTAATAATAATAATAATAATAATAATTAACCTTTATTAATTTTATTCATTTATGACCCACTAAAATTTGGAACATTTAACCTACATACCAATGAACAAACTCAGGTTTATCAGTATCACTATCAAAATTTTAGTAAAATTTCAAAACGATTTAGTTATTAATAATGTAATTGTAGAGTTGTAACACGTATTTTCTCTATTTAAATTGTCATTTTACGCTTCCGAAATATCTTTTTTTTTTGTGAAATCAGCCCTCGTAAACCTTCTGATTAACATAAATAAAACCTGAATCCTTGACTCACTTCACCGTGATGTGATACCAAAAATATTATTTGTGTAATTTTAGCAAAGTGAGTGGTGTTTTGACATTTTAGGAATCTAGTGTACATACACAGCTGTCTATGGATGATTGGCACATGAAACGGGTGTTGATTTTTGCTGCCTTCTCGAAATATGAATTGTAATCAGGTTACCAAAGTGATGTTACACGTCAGTCATCACAGCTTGTTTGTGATGGGTAGTGAAAGAAATTTGCAGTTAAAGTTAAATATTATTGTTATTTATAAACGCTGTATTTACGGTTTATCATAGAAGAATGTAATCTAAGTACGGTCTCTTCAACATTCGTTGACTAAAATTTGTTTTTTCCTATTAATTTGTATAAGTTTAGTTTCCCACTTAATCCACCATGTGGGGTAAGGCAGGGTTCTAAAATATGTCAACCTTTGTTCCTTTAAACTGTAAATGATTTAATTAATTCTTTTTCAGTGAAAATTTTGTCTTTACAGATGCCTTCAGATTATATAGATGTACAAAATTGTACTTCACGCCGAACTGAACCATTATTATTACTGAAGCAATAAATAGAGTCTTTAATACCTTACAAAGCACGTGAAATTTTTACTGCTGGCCGGCTCTCAATAAAACACGCTCATCCGATGTACTTATTAGATGAATAACGCTTAGATCGTCACTATTACAAGTGATGCAACTGATAAATATTTATACTGACATAAATATTTTCAATACGTTTTATATCATCTATCAAATGACTCAAAATTATGGCTCAGGTTATTTATATACAGTTGAAATACATTAAAATATTTCCCCAGTGACTATAGCC